TCAGATTTCAACCAATAGGTAGTTTAAAAAACCGTTCAAAGTTCCGTTTTTTTCAATGATTTTGTGGCTAAATGACTATTCTGTTGATTACAGTTTCAAGGAGCCATTTCTTCTGCACTCGTCAGTTCTTTTCATTCCTTTGTGTTCTAGGAGGAACCTAAGACTTCAGGTTTGATCTCTGATGTTTCAGTAGCGGTGGTGGTTTATTAAAGGATGGAGTTATTAAACTCACTCCCAGCCTTCCCTCTTTATCAGTCTTAATACTGAGTAAGCGAGGTTTAGTAGTGTGTCGGTAGGAAATCGAAATTCGGATCACGTGCGTGGTCGTTGTGCATTCTATCACTGAACCGCAGTTATTATTAGTGTATCTATTAGACTATCCCTAAGAAGGTGCGTCGGTGGTATAGCGGTTAGGACGCTCGCCGACCATGCATATGGTCCGGGGTTCGATCCCCGGCCGGCGCCGCACTCCTTTACCTCACTGAGCCAGAAATAATCCTGGTAAAGAGGAAAGGTTGGGCATGAGGCTAGCAACCCCATCCTGTAAAAATTAAACGCTGCTACAGAAACTTCAAGCCACTAGCTTGGAACCCTATGTTCCACTGGGAACGTGAAGGAAAAAATTTTTTTATTAGACTATCCCCAAGTAATTAGTAAATAACGGCCAGCACATGTGTTATGCATACCGAGTTATTGCCTCCTTCATCCAACAATGCCAGGTGATATAGAATTAGCTTAAGAAAGAGTTACAGCCTGTCATTAGTCCACGAAAGCTTTGGCTGTTGGTTTACACATGTCACGTAAGGAGGTTAAGACTATCTGTCTAGAGTCCTCGATGCACTAAGAACCAAAAACTGAAAACTGTTGGTGACACCGCTCAAAATCGTACACAAAGGTGCAGATTTCTTCACTCCTAGTGATCTTGGCGACATTTCGACTCCTGCTACAGACATTTCAACGGTACTCCTTCGTAACTAAGTGGATAACACATTAGCTTTTGAAATGATGGGTTCTAGGTTTATGTCTCGGAGAGGACAACATCTCCCACTGAGGATGTGGGCATATCAAGATGATGAGATGCAAATAGAATGAAATGCACTTGTTCGATTTTACTGCCAACCATTAACAATTAAATAATTTTGCAAGGACTTATTTACTTTACTTGAATAGATACCGCTTTGTGATGACTTCTTTTGTCAGGCCAGCTTTTGTATTGTTACTAATAACGGGATTTCGTTACTTTGAATAATACACTAATAGTGAGTACTACTAGGCACAGATATTTGAATTCTCTAGGCTATGTGCCAAAAGTTATGTATTACATCTTGCAGTACTACTCAGCTAATCAGAATGAAGTAGGTGGAGGCAGGTTTGAACAAGGAATTGTGCTACTGAACGTCATTTGCTGAAGGTAATCGTTCGAGCAGTATGGTAGGATAAAATCTGATGATGGCTTTCCATGTTATTATTACTTGTAGTATTAGCACAGTACTATTTTTCTTACCGTGTCATTTTTCCATGTAAAAATCTGGCGTGGTTTTGCTTTATTGTTCTGACTAAGTTCATTACATTCTCATGCCTACCGCTTACTAGATTTGTAATCAAATTGTCAACCTATAATTTCTAATGACTCTGGCTGTTCAGTGGTTAAATGATGGTCAGCCACGTGCGTGGCCCAAGTTCAACTCCCGGTCTTGGGGATATCTGTCTACACACCTATGATATACTGGTGTGGTGAGAGCAGGCTGCTAGCCGATTGGTTGGCACTAATCTACGTTAAGGTCTAGGTCACTAATATGGGCCGTGAACAAGGCTGAGTCAACAACCAATCACAGCGAAGTTAACGTGGCAAAATATGATTCGCAGATAGAGAACTCTGTTTGTCAAGGAATCCCGAAACAACCAATCAGAAGCCTGCGTTTGTCTACCTAAACAACCAATCAGATGACTGCGCTTGTCTATAATAATGTTGTCTGAAATATGTATAAATACGTGTTGATTTTCATAATAAAACGATCTGTTGCCTGGCCCTTGTCTTCTGTTGTTACATTTGGTGTCGCTGCCTACCGACAAATGAAAAGCCTATACCCTGCAGTTTTTGATGGAGACATATGGATCTTCGGGCAGGACTTCAAGGCTTCTGCGCAGTTGAGTGGCGTTCAAGATCTGTCAGCGATGGAGCTGCTACTTGAGACGCTGCTGGGAGGTCGGGCGAAAGCAGCATATGAAGGTGTGGGCCGAAGTATGGACGAATGTTCGACAGGGTCAGGCAAACAGTTTCCAAAGTGGGAAGGACCATATATGGTCACTTCGAGATGGGGTTACGCAGACACAGTCGCAATGGCGAACAATGAGAGGCGCGTGAACGTCAGCGAGCTCCAGAAATGGATACAGCGAGACAAGCCAACGATGACGCCTGCACCAAGTAGATCAAGCCGACTTCAGTCGCACGTATTTGACGGGGGGACGAGTGTGGTGAGAGCAGGCTGCTAGCCGATTGGTTGGCACTAATCTACGTTAAGGTCTAGGTCACTAATATGGGCCGTGAACAAGGCTGAGTCAACAACCAATCACAGCGAAGTTAACGTGGCAAAATATGATTCGCAGATAGAGAACTCTGTTTGTCAAGGAATCCCGAAACAACCAATCAGAAGCCTGCGTTTGTCTACCTAAACAACCAATCAGATGACTGCGCTTGTCTATAATAATGTTGTCTGAAATATGTATAAATACGTGTTGATTTTCATAATAAAACGATCTGTTGCCTGGCCCTTGTCTTCTGTTGTTACACTGGTAGTTCACTTTGCAAAATTTTTAAAGAAATGCATCAAGTTTAATGCTCTTACATTTCTTCAGACGGCCCGTTTACACTGCACTTCTTTGCTTAGGTAACTATCTTTTAACTTCGCTGGAAGTGCTTAAGAACTGGGCAAACGTATTCACTTTTCGTTATCTGAAACAAAAGTAGAAATGTGTTTACTGGTTATTATCTGTCTACATCCCAGATTTTTCCCACTTTTTCTCATTTCTTCACCAATGAAGTATTATTCCATTTTTCCCTTTACCTTTCTTTGTGCCATATCATATTATAACAAACTGATGTGAAGCCTATCTATGAAAGAAGTGCATATTGATCTGCCCATTTATGTGCTTACCTTTTATTTTATTAACTAATCACCTATCTGAACATATTAATAACTACATATAATGTAGGATAAAACGAATTCTTAGTTTACTTAGTTGGTATCTCGTCAGCTGCACATAATAATTATTATAATATAAAGGCAGAAGGTAAGGGAGTTGGTAATGGACCTTCGTCAAGGTTAAACACATTATATCTATACACTCTCAGTCACATTAAAGTTAAACTGAGTCAGAGGAGAATAGACTGTTCTGATTGGTTGGCACTTGGTCCAAGGTTAAGCGGTTTGTCCAATAAGGTTATTTCAGAGTCACAATCTTTGCAGCCATTGGCTAAAATTGTTGATTACAGTTATGGCTGCGTCCTACCATCACGTCACAAGGATACAACTCTTATTAATTAATATACTTTAGTACATTTGATATAAAATGTGGAACAATAATTAAGCTTGGTCATGATCTGTAGACGAATCAAAATGTTAAGTTAATAAAATATAAAATACCGCTGTACTTATATGTGTAATGTCATTGAAGTTTCTCAGATAAAACAGGAAAATGAAAAGCAAGCTGCGTCGGTGGCGCAGCGGTTAGGACGCTCACTGGGGTTCGATCTCCTGCCGACGCACACCTGATGTCGATGGTTGGCCTGCTAAATTTGGGCCACCGATATCACATGTTGAAAATTCCTTACTTGTATCAAAAATACTCCGTGGAATCAAGCTATAATAAATTTTAAAAAAAAATAAAAAAAAATAAAGTAAGATATTAAGGTACATAAATTCCAAGTCATTAAAAAACCGTTAATACACAAATAAGGTAGGAAAAAGTAGTGTGAGTTAAGCTCATATAGTTAGATTTTAGACATATGAATCAAGTCACCCACTAAGCGATGATGTAACTAAACAAGAGTGCAAACACACACATTTTAAGAGACGGTATAATCAATCAGGGTTAAATGACGAGTTACCAAAGTAGAGTTAGACTGTCAGGTTTAGACAGTTTGATAGCGATTGCTTCTGCGAAGTGCGAGAATTGTGACTTTTGTTGCTCATTGGTTAATTATCTTGAAGAAAATGAAAATATCTATTTGTTGCCCTGTGTCATTTAGTTGTTCTATAATTGTGCTGTTCAGTGATTTTCTTCTGCCTTAATCTCAAACTCTTCGGTGTGAGTTCAGAAAATCTAACAAAATCTAACATAATTGCCTCGGCAGCTACACACATAAATTGATACCAACAAATTGAACAATATATCCATTTTAACCTGCACCACGTATTGTTTTTGCTTTGTTTAAATTCATGAAGGGGACATAGTGTATGAAATAATCGTTTATCAGGGTCATTTACCGCGTAACTACGAATCTCAATTTTGCCTTAAGAGTTAGATTACCAAAATATTGCTGAGGCTGTGGGGATCCATAATAACAAGCCTAATTTATGCATCCAAAAGAAGTTAGTTCAGACATTATCCTTACCCGCTTGGCCATCCAGGTTTGAATAATCCTGAGTTTTTGTGGGATTTCCCTAATTTTAGTTGATATTCTATTTGCTACTATATCTTTATTATAATTTAAGCATCTTTGATGAACTGTAATTGCATTGATCATACTTTACAAATCGATATTATTTAAAAAACACTAATATTGTTATTGACTTCTAATCTAGAATATTCTATGTGTATAAACATATGCATATAATTGTAGAGCCGGTAGAGGAATTTATCGAAAAGGATATTCTCTGCTCAGTTATTTGTGTGTTTTATAGATGTCTGAATGAATATTTTCGCTATATTGAAATCGTTTATTAGTCTATTTTTTCTAATATTATATTTTAATATAACCTATTGCTTTGGTTGACTAGTTGTCATCGTATTGGACAGACAAAACCTGTTCTTGTTATTCGATTAATTACAAATGAATCAATTGATGAGAGTATACTACAACGTGCACAAGCAAAACGTGGTCTTGAACGACTTCTGCTGAATCATCGAGTATCAAGTTTAGATCCATCATTGTATGATAAATCATTACAATTTCATGAATTAATGAATACTGATGAAAAGGTTTGTTTTAAATTTTAAAAATAAAAAAAATTTATTATTATATCTCAATTATGTTGTTCACATTTTTGTATTATATAGAAGTATATTATGAATGGGGTGAAGTTAAAGTATCATAGCCAGAGTCAAGGTTGTCTTTCAAAAGTTGACCTTCAAGAATCAATTAGACATAGGGAACGCTATAAAATATCATCCCAAATCAACTCATACCTACCTTTTTGGATTTGGAGAGGATGGATACAACAGTCTACTCATTTACTTGGTACTTTTCATACAAATCTATACTGTTAGATGGGGTTATAACTTTTAAGGTTTAAGGTTAGGATTAGGGTTAAAGTTAGAATTAAGAGTAGGTTGGAGGATAGTGTCAGAAATACAAATGGATCTCAAAATACCATGACCTACAGTCACTTGGATGAATGGGTATATTGCACATGGTACGATTTTTCTATAGATCATCTGTGTATTGACTGGGGGACATTCTTACAACACATAAACTACAACCATACAGTGTAATATCAAGTTTGCAAAAATATTTCTAGTGTATTTTTCAACGATTATGCTACTTTTTTGTATTTGAATTCTAACTGGTTGTTCTAGGTCACTGAGGTTATGGCTACGAAATTTTTACTTAGCCATCAATGGGATATACTTATAATATTTGAATAAAGCAAGAACAACTGTGGTTTGTGCAGAATAATATGGTACCATGATCTATTTCGTTGGCTTCTCATCAGCTCAGCTGCTTACGATCTAAATAAATTATGAGGTTTACGTACAGAAACGTTTTAACATACTTGCAAATTTTACATGTTGTCAGTTGACAAAAAGTTCCACAATTAGTGAACAGTGCTCAGAAAATTGCGCTCATGTAGTTTTTACACAGGCAGTTCAAGTTTAAACGAAATATATGTATGCATACAATGGTAAAGGAGTTACGTAATAAAGACGAGAGATGAGTAAGATGCAGAGTGACTAATAAATTAGGTAACGATGTACTGAGTTCAACTCACGTGTCATGGAAACAAGAGAGAAGCAAAATTACAGATTATAAAGAGGAAGGTAGAGTGAGGTTAAAGACGAAGATTACGTAATGAGATGAGAGAATAGAGACATCCAGTTACCAGGGCAAGGAAAGACTAATAACTGCTTCTTTCTGAACACATAAATCCGGTTTAAAACGTTTGATAGAAATTGCTTCGGCAAACTTGAGGAGAATGGTGCTCCTTTGTCTATTGATAATTTTAAAGGATTTCTCGATTTCCACTTCATGACCCGTGTCGAGGAGATGTCTTGTAATAGCGCTACTATGAGAGTTTGTTCCCTTGAAACGTAGGCTTTCCGGCACATGTTCAGAAAATCGGAGGTGTGCCCTTCTTTCTGTTCTCCCAATATAACTGCTCCCACAGATACACGTAAATTTGTATACACAGTTGGAGTTGATTAGAAGCCAACGAAATAAATGATGGTACCATATTATTCTGCACAAACCACTGTTATTCTTGCTTTATTCAAATTCATCAAGGGGAATAAATGCACAAACAGTTATAATAACTTCTTTCGAGGGATAATACAAATGAAGCAACAAGTTAGCCTGCTCACAAGTCATCTATAATCAGTAATTATTATTTCTCGACAAATCTTACAAAATGATCAATTCTAGGATTACAATTTTGGCATTGCAATAGGTGGAATATAATTCCATATTTCCTAAATTTATTCCATGTAACACACACACACACACAATGAGGGATACAATTTCGAGCACAATTTATTGCAGCCAACATAAAGAACAAGATTAGGATTTCTAACACTCATATCAAGTCAGTGCTTCTAATACAGTTCAGAGAATTGTCACGTGTGTCACCAGAAACATTTTCAACAGTCCACGACAGACAATCATTAACAACTGCCTTTGCTGTCTCCATACTGAAGACCGGATAACCAGAAGGTACAAGCAAGCAATAAGAAATCCTAGTAACGTAATAACCAAGGGCTTATTGCCCCCACAGATATACCGAAGAAAAAAATTGGAGATGAACCGGACAGTCTATGTAGACAGCTTAGTGAAATTGCACTCGAGGCCATTCGGGTGGAAACTAGTTGGACGTCGGTTGGAGGATGATATGAAGGAAACCGTAATAAGAAGAGATGAGAGGTTATAGGCAATCGTGGAGGCAGATAAAGAAGACTGCAGACAACAGAGTGGAATAGCGGTGTGCAGCTGAAACCCTATGCTCCACTCCGGACGCTAGGGAATACTAATCACGATAGTGATGATAATCAATGCCGCTTAACCCCCTAGCATTGAGTGCAACAAAGATTTGATTCCGGTTTGAAACCAAAACCTTTAGTGAATATGTCAACAACACAAGACGATGTATTGCTGAAATGCCCGCCAGCCTGGCTCATAAACAGTCACAAACAAAATAAAAAAACATCTGTTCAGTATATAATTGGTTGATGGTGACTAGCAATGGAATCCAGGATGCGCATTTTGTCCTATTCGGGACTCATCATGTGGATGTACCTGCATCTCCCAGTGAATGATGATGTTCCCACCGAGGCTAGTCACCATCCACCAATTAAATTCCATCTAAATGCCCAGACATTGTCGAAGCATCTGCGCAAGAAGCCGATATGTCAACCTGAGACCGAGCACTTCGATTCAATCAATCGATGGGAAAATCTAAAAATTCAATTAAAACATCTGTTCAGTAGCCTGTAGTTTTCACTAGTTAATGTCAATTCACACCGGAGAGATTTATGTTAGTTAAGAAGAATATATATTTAATGGATTGTATTACTTCTTTTTCATTTTAGGAAAAGAGTGAAATCGACCTAACTGAGAAAAAATATTCTGAAACTTATGAAGAGGATTTTCAGCCGCTAAAGATTTCTGATGATCCTATCTATGGCAAGACAAATTTAACCAAGTCAGAACTAATCGATTTATTAAAACAAACTGATCATCAATCGGATGTACTTGATGCGTGTAGTTTAACAGATGAAGAATTAAACAAACTACTAGATAGGTATGATTAATTTTTCGTGGAGCTTTTCAATTATTTTATTTTTTTTGATTTGCATTATTTATCTCATGAAGATTTAACAAGATTAAGCACTTAACTACTTATCTGTCATTCCAATGGGTTCTGAATTCGAATCCCAACCCGCCTACTTTAGCCTAGTAGCATTATCAGTCTATGCATACACAATAAATAAGTGTGTCTGACATCTATTGGTACGTGAAAGACCTGTTCCGGGTAAGTGAGTTTATTAGGCGAGATAGCTATCACTATTCAGAGTCCACCAATGATCTTGGAAAAAAATGTGGTACCGGTTCTAATTGCCACTCATTTTACTCCATTTTACAGAAACTGGGTCATTCTATGGGTCTATGCATATAAGTCCCAGCTCATAACGTAATACATGCTCCTGTCATAGTGGTGAAAGATTTAAAGTTCATATTGTGAATTCTCCGACATCGAGCTTTCGCCAACAGAATATTTAAGAGAAGGTAACAATAACAGTTGAGTCACTTTGTGGGCATCGAATAGTCTTGAGTTCGTTCGTAAATATGGTGTTAAGGAAACTGTTTTGCATAGTTTGAAATTACCGGGAATTAATTAGTTAAAAGTCAATCTGAACGAAGAATATTCTTTTCAATAATTTCTCCTCTTCAGGTTCTTACAATTTTAAAATATAATATTTATTGTCGTTACAATAATGCGAGCCAGTTATGCGGCGGATACATCTTTTAACGTAGAATAACAGATTAGTTATGGGGTGTCAGTCAAAATAAATAGTCGTATTTGTGTGACAAACGTGCTCTGGGCTGAAATCGATTATTATTAGTAATATTATCTGTTTTCTCAATATATGCCTCCACCTGTTTCATTTCACATATTCGTTATTTCATTATGAATCTCGCATTGCAGTCTGACTATCTCCTCTTTAACGCAGACCACTTTGTACTAGCCACTCACTCACCTGACACCTTCGATAACCTTGAACTGACTGACTTGTCAATTTTCCTACCCCACACTCTACAAATCCATTATGACTAATCACCCCCATTGTCTCCCATTTTACAATATTTTGTAATCGATTTCAGCCAACTAGCACGTTTGTCACACAAATACTACTATTTATTTTGACACCCCATAACTAATCTGTTATTCTACGTTAAAAGATGTATCCGTCGCATAACTGGGTCGCATTATTGTAATGACAATAAATATTACATATTTTATAATCGTAAGAACCTGAAGAGGAGAAATTATTGAAAAGAATATTCTTCGTTCAGGCTGACTTTTAATTCATAATATGGGAATATTTCACACTATCAAATTAATTATTACCAAGTGAGGCAAAAATTCATTTAGATTTTATCTTCTCACACTGAATCCAGTTCTGGTTAAACTTCTTAGTTACCTTTCGAGTTGAACCCAACCAAAAGCTGCTACATTTATGTAGTAGTTAGACTTGCATACAAAGACTACTCAAAGAGCTATACTGGACGGCAGGAGTGTCTGTGAAGGTCCTAACACCTAGTAAGGTCATTTGGCTAGTCGTAAGACTGAAAACAGCCGTCACTGGAGTGTCATTCGTTTACACTATGTTCTGGGGGTTCTGAGGGCAAAAATGTACTGCTGGCGGATGGAAGTTTCACAGCATCCAGGTATTCCTCTCAGCCTGTTGGCAATTCAGTTATGGTGCTTTCACACTCTAAAGAGGAGTTGTAGTGTAACAACAGAAGACAAGGGCCGGCAACAGATCATTTTATTACGGAAATCAACACGTATTTATATATATTTCATGTACATTATTATAGCTTATTCAAGCAGACAAACACAATCTTCTGATTGGTTGTTTCTGGTTTCTCGGAAAGTTAAGCCATATATCTGAGAATCTTATTTACCCACGTTAAGTTTGCTGTGATTGGTTGTTGAATCAGCCTTGCTCATATTTTCTCAAGGCCAATAATAGTGACCTGGACATTGCCGTAAATTAATGCCGACCAATTGGCTAGCAGCCTGCTCTCACCACAGTAGGACTTCTAAAACTTGACTTACTTACTCTACGGTGATTCATATGCGCTGAATCGATTACTTTTATTTGTGTATTTCAATGTATATACATTTTTATAATGTACTCTGTTTAATTTTTACTGATCAGGTCGGATCTTATTGAAACTTGGGGAGAATACAATATTGAGGAGAAAGCGTCATCTATCAACGAATGCCCAAATTCTAGTTAACTTCATATTACACCGATGGTAAATGAGTATGATAATTTAGGCGACTAAAAAAAAATTGATCATCAGTGTAATAACAAAGAAAATCATGAAATCTTAGAAGATAAAATTTTGTTTGACAAAGTATACAATGAAAGTGTACCAGATCTACAATATCTGGAACACGAACTCTGATTAATTACAAGTTTCTTGTTTAAAATATATACACGCATATTTTGTTTAGTTTTTCGACTTTAATAATATTGCTTTTTTAATTGTATAATATTTTCAAATATTTATAAACGTATGCAATATGACGCCATCATGGTATTGATTCATGGTATAATTGAATATATGTTATGGTTATTTATTAAATATTTGTTCTTTTATGTGAAAAAGAGGGATTCCATTTTTAAGTGAGTTCTAATGAGCTACATTTTAGACTTTATTTTTCCTCACTCTTTGTCTATCTTGGCCTTTTAGACTCAAAATTAGCTGTGTTCTACAACAGCCTGAAAAGAAGTTATGTAGATTATTATTATTCCCTTGTGTTCCAAGTGAAATATAAGGCTTCAAGAATACATCTCCACTTTCGTCTATTTTCTGCCATCCTTTTCAGCTGAGTCCACGGTTGCTCACAATCTCTCATCTCTTCCTCACACAATCTCCATGTCACCCTCCTACTGGAGACCTACTTGTCGCTTCCCCTCGAACAATGGCCTGCATTGAACGCAATGTCATTCGACAGTTTCCTAGATGTATGCCCTATCCATCTCCACTTTCTCCTACATATCTGTTGAGCAATCGGCTCTTGGTTGGTATGTTGCCAAAGCTTCTTACTAATTCTCTCTGGCCACTGATCTTCAGTATATACCCAGCGAAAGCAGCTGTTGATGAAAGTCTGCAATCTGTTGGAAATCCTTTTTGTGACACACCAAGGACCAACTTGACATTGGTGTTAAAAATGATGAGAATCTTGTTCCTTATGCGCTGAGTACAGAAGATTATAAAAACTGATTTCAGGTTGATGAAGGTGCATGTCGCCTTTTGCGATTCTGGCCTACTTTAACATCTTCATCCGTGCCGCCTATGGTTGAAACGATGCTTCTCAGATAAATGGAGGATTTATCCTCTGTTCAATCTCTCTCGTTGATGGTGATTAATGCTGGTTGTGTTGTTGTTGTTGTTGTTGTTAATGCGATTCATTGGTCATCTTCATCACCTCCGTTTTCTATATATACTTACCTTCAGTCCTTTCTTCGCTGCCCCCACTTCTTCTACCAGTTTGCTGTTTTTCGCCTGCAAGTCTTCGAGTTTTTGTGACATTAGACATATGTCGTCTGTGAAATCCAGATCTTCTAAAGCCTTTTATTTGTCCAACGTATTCGTATCTGCTCACTCCCAGTGTACAATCTTCCGCATAATGAAGTCGACCACAATTAGGAATATCATTGGTGATAATAGACAGCCAGCCTTGTCTTACTCTGTATGCACTTTGAACGCCTCGCCAAGTTTTCCGTCGTGGAGCACCTGAAACGTGCCGTTATCATATAGCCAGCTGTTGAATGACGTTGATAAAGACTTTTTAGGTATGCCGTAGTGTTGAAGTAGTTTCCAAATTACGTCTCGGTCAGCGCTGCCTGGTGAAGTCCTTTTCGAAGTCGATCAAGTTAAGGTTGAGGTTGAACTGCCATTCTATGCTTTTTTCTGAGATGACGATGCGTAAGGTTGCTATTTAATCAGCACATGATTTGTCTTTCCTGAATCCAGCTTGTTCTGATCGGCGGGTGTGGTGGAGTTCTGTATCCAGTGCATCCTTTTTTCTCTTCAGGATGATGCGACTTAGTATTTTACTTGGCATGGACAAAAACAATATTCCACACCACTTCATGCACAGGCCTAAGTTACCCTTCTTTGGCAGTTTGACGAGGTAGCCTTTCTTCCAATCGGTAGGTACCTTTCCTTCTTTCCAGACCTTTTGCAGTAATGACGTGAGCATATCTGCCTCAGTCTCTGGGTCCGTTCTCGGTGCTTCGGGAGGGGGGGGATATCTAGATAATATTTTGGGATATACATAATAGATGATGACTGGAAGGTGGGATAAAACATCTAAGTTGCTGTACGGCTGAAACCACTTCTATCCGAATCATACTAGTCTTGTATTATTCTGCTGATCAAGCTACGGAATCATGATCATTTTGCCTCATCTTCCAGGGTTTCTTCAACTTGACAGCTCTGTTTTTGTGTGTGAATGAATGAAGTTCTACTGCTCATCTAACATCATCAAACCAAACTACGCCTGTGGTCTGGCTCTCGATCCCCAAACAACGCGCTCATAAACCTCACTAAGTCGCTAGTAAGGTCAGTAAAGAGGAAAGGTTGGGCGTGAGGCTAGCAACCCCAACCCGTAAAAAATAAAACCATTGCTACAGAAATTCCAAAGCACCGTCTTGAAGCCCTATGTTCCACTCGGAATTTAAAGGAATAAACTAAAAGTAAAGTAAGGTAATCTAAACATTTCGGTTTATGTAACTTGATGATGAAATATCAGAAAACTGTAACTGTTGAGCACTTACCTTGTTATCTGACAGTCTTAGAGTTCCATCTCTCTTAGGGTTTTCCTTGTGAAGAACTCGAAACCGAGATGAGATAGAATTTTCGCAAATTTTTGTTTTTAATCATTTCATGATAAACTCTAATTTCAAGTCACTAAAAGCCATTTGAAACCAATGTTTTGAATATATATTTATCTTTCAAATAACTAAAACCGATTTTAAGTTGTATTACTTTACGAATACGTTTCCAGGATCAAAAAGGCTCTTTTTTCGCTAGTCAGTACGCCAGTATAGAAAACTGGGATTTATTGCATTCATTAAAGTACTTTAGGCGAAATAAAAGTGCCGGTGTATTATCCTATACTTAGTTAGTTCACTGAATTTTCTTCAGTCTATTTTAATCCACTGTCTTGAAAATATTTTGGTTAATGCTGTTTACTAGTGCAATCCAGTATACCTGTTTCGTCCTACTTGGGACTCCTCAACTACTTCATTGGAGATTACGGATACAGATTACAGATGATGAGCTGCAAAAGGGATGAAACGACCATCCTAGATTCCACGTCTAGTTGTCATCAACCAAAATAACTTCACATGGATCCTCATACAAGGAGCTGGTATTTCGACAGATATCGAGCACTTCAGTCTAGCATAATCAACATGCACTGCAAATAAACCTATATTTATGTAATAGTCTTAGAATTATTAATTCACAAGATGCAAATGAATATGAACTTTTTTTTTTGATTTACAGCTTGATTCCACACTGTATTTTTGCTGCAAGTATGGAATTTTCAGCATGGATATCGGTAGCCCAAATTTTGCAGGCCGACCGTAGATATCAGGTGTGCGCCGGCGTGGGCTCGAACCCCGGACCATGTGCATGGTCGGCGAGAGTCCTAACCACTGTGCCACCGACGCACAGAATGTATATAACATGTTAAGTGGAAACAGCTACCCTGAAAAGTTCATCATGCAACATATAGTCAAGAAAATATAAAAGAATTCTTTTGTATCTGTTAACAGTAAACCTGTATATATACAACTATGATTCAAAGATGATAAACCAGCTGAAATTATAACCAAAAAGCTGACAAAATAGACTCAAAGAACTTTTAATGCCGATAAGCTACAGTTTTTATTTTCCACCCAACTAATTGTGATTCTGAAACTGAAAGATTGAGTACGCAGGCTAACCGCATCTTATTGTATATATCAGTTCAATTGCTCCTGTGGAACCAGTTCTAATGGTGGTTGTTCTAGGAACATGACTTTTTCGTGCTCACTTGGCAACACCTACCGGTGTGGTTAATTAAAGGCCTAGTTTAAACCATTAATAGTTCTATAATAGATCATCCCGTCCAAATAGACGACAAAGCAAGCATTGAAGAGTCTTTCTCCATCAATTATCGGTTATCGAATGAATCGCCAAAGGCCTCTAGATAATGACCGAGACAACAGGGGCCATTACAATTCACCTAAATCAACCGGAGCTCTGAATACGAAAGAAGCAGGTCCAGACACTACTTTTATCCTGAACTACTGTAGAATCTCTAGACATTCATTAATTCTGAGTTACTTCCCTTAGTTCATCTGATGCTCACTTTAGTGTGTTATACTGATGCACATTATCTCATACTGAGATGCTTTATGACGATCAAGCATCCACGCCATTTGGCACGCCGTCGTGTTACGTACGTTCGTGCACGATCACTGGTTTAGTTAAGCTACACGATTTCTATCCTGAAATAATATTTCGTGTTTCGGACGATCAAACTGATGTTTTGATTTGCCTTTGGTCTAGTAAGAATAAATAATGTAGAATTTGTGAGTATAACAACTTGTTTTAGCGTTAGAATGTTGAAGGCAGTGGATAGGAAGCCACACTTGACCTAGGTTTCGTGCTGGTTGCCACTCAACAGTCATCAAGGCGTATTTGCAACCTCGAAGGAACTTATGTCCCTTATGAGATTCGAACCCGCGTCATCCAACGCTGCAGTCAGAGGCATTATCACTGAGTTATTTAGGGTCGTTATTGACCTCCTGTAGGACCATGATGCACCGTGATGGCCAGCTACCCAGAATGGTGGCCATATTGCAAAACTGACTGATAGAATTCAGTCCACCAAAGGAAGGACTAGACATATTATACTAGTTCTTAGTGTGTAATCGAACTGGTGCTAGTATTCAGCGTACTTCCCATGAACGTCGATACAACGTCCGTCGCTAAAATTATTTTAAACATTAATTTTCAAGTATTGGTTTTGTAGGGAATTCGTCTGATTGGTTGGAGGATTTCGTCATTAGCTGACATCAGTCAGAAAACCTGCAGGGAGTATTGGACAACTGTTTCATCTTAGCTTAGGTTGGGTCCCAGCGGCTTAATGGTCTACGACGAGCTCGCCTCGTAACTAGAAGGTCCCGGGTTCGAACCTTGGTGGCTGTATAGTGATGAAGAGTCCCATAATA